CTGCGCCTCGACACGTTGCGCAATGTTTCCTCCACGGTGTTCATGGGCCCCTGCTACCGGGAGCACCAATTTGCTCTTCTTCTTCTCGGCCACTCCTCGTCGTCTCGTTGCGCCTCGGCGTCGTCGTGCTTGCGCTCGTACTCGTACTCGTGCTCGTGCTCGTCGTCGTCGTCGTGGTCGTCGTCGTAGTTCGTCGTCGTCGTCGTCCTACTCCTTCTACTTCTCTTTAGGACGACGACGACACGCCGAGGTCACTAAACCTCTCCCCGGACTCGCGAGCGCCCACTCGCTTCGTTTCGTTCGTTTCTTCGTATATATATGCGTACGTGCGTGCGTGTGTGCTTCCTCTTCTCGCGTTTCTCCTTCTGCCCGGAGTCTCTCCTCCCTTCTCGCGTCGCGCCGCTCCGCGTCCCTGACGTTCTCCTCTTCGCGTTTACGGCGGCGAGGGCTCGCCGTGCCGACGGGGTACAAACGACCGAGTGAAAGTACGGGTCGCCGTTCGAATCGTGCAAATGCAATCCGGCTCTTTCGAAGAGCCCTTACTTTAGCGGGAACGAAACACTGCGCCAACACGGTCGAGAGGACACGGCGAAATTTCCGCGGAGCTGCCCGGTTGAATGATGAATCATGGAATGCACTCACCTAAATTAATGCAAATTTTCAAAATAATTTTCCATTACAATTATTACCAATATTTCCGCTTAAAATAAGAATAGAGGAATATTCTGTTACGGTAACAAGAGAGCGAAAATTTTTCGAATCGCTTTAAAATATCACACTTGGTATAATCCATGCACTTTGGCCGTGCAATCAAAATATTGTTAAATATTTAACCTCGTTATATTTGTTGTAACGGAGCACACGTTTATACAACGTGCAACGCGGAATCAGAAGAGATCGCTAATCGGAGCAAGATTGGAATTTTTTCGCGTGTAAAATTGCGCTGTCACCGTGAACAGTCGCTCGAGGTTAATGGAGGCCGGTTTGGTAGCACTACATAGAATTTTGCGAATATTAAACGGAATTCAGTCGATGAGTGTAAAAGGAAAAGTATTCCCTTTGATCCCCGACGCGTAAACCGTGTAAAGCTGTTATTGAAATATTCCGATGTTTGACGTTTTGACGAATGGGAGTATAATTCGCAGCGTCAGGCACCGTCGGTGGACAGCAATTTGCACACAGCGACGGATTGAACCGTCTAAAGTGCGTCACGACCAGTTACGTAAACGTAAGCGCCAGCTTTAATGAATTCACGTAACACGGGAATGTCAGTCACATTCGCCTGTAACGAGTTTCCCCAGAAGATCGGAATCGATCGCGGCGCGATTAATCCTGTTCGGAGGAGCGCGTCTGATAAATTCCGTTCGAGCTAACATATGTCCTCCTGAAACTAATGAGTTTTCTCATCTCTTTCGCTTCAGATAACAATATGCACGATCATCGCGTCATAAACGATATCAGCTTCGACAAAAATTTTGTTTTTCTAGCTATGATTAATCACTAAAACTGATGGTTTTGTAGTGGATGACTTTAATAGGTTTTCTACAATAAACTATTATCTAAGCTTTAAGTCTTAAGCCGTAAGAAATTTACCACATAGTACACAATTCTTATACTATCATCAAGCGAGATTAAGTCTAAACCACAAGTAAGAAAATAAAAAAAGCAGTCTTAAGAATTAAAAGAAAATGAAGAGGAAGTTGAATTGACATGAGATTAAAGTTAATCCACAATGGTGGAAACGGGCATTAATCCCTCGCAGAATTGATGCCCTTCACCGTGTTACAGCAAAGCTAGATCGCAGCAATTGCAAGTTTGTCGCGGTATATATAGTTATAGTTATCGCTTGCCGCGATAACGAGCCGCCTAGCTCGCGTGTAGATCGAGAGCGGAAACGGTCTTTGTTTCTCGGGGAAAACATCGAAGCGCTAATAGGTATGTATACTCCGCGGCTCATAGCTCAATATCCTTTTACGTTCTCGTAAATTACTATCATCCGATAATAACGGATACGCGTGTCGCATCGTAACATTGAAAGGGAACGCGCTCGTATAACGCTCTGAAAAGCACCTCGCATTTTCTATACCGTGCTCGTAAAAAAAACCGTTTCGGAATTCGCTCTATGATGAAACTCGTCGAAGTCGACCGTCGAGGATCATTTCCGGTTCGAGCCACCCTTTGCGAATCGATATATCGGCGACCATTTTACGCCGTAACGTATCAAAATTCGCCCCGCCAAAAATGATCTTTAGAACCTAAAATAATACCGATATTCGCTCCCGAGTTTTCAAATATCGATATTTTCTAGCTTTTATTATCACGTGATACAATACTGCCCTATGTATCTATCTTTATTTTTTTTTATTTATCCACATCCGTTCGCGGCAGTAAAATCGCACGAAAGTGCACCTTTCGCTGCCTCTCGCGTTGCTCCGGAAACAACAGGAAGTAAAAGCTTTCGTTTCACCATGCCTATTCGCTGCAAACCAAAGTGTGCACAAAATTACTTCAATATATGTATCGCAGAATTGGCAACGTTGCCTCGTAAGAACTCGTTATCGTTACTCGTTATTAATTTGCAAAAGTATAACTCGTTACCGTTACCATCAGTTAAAATGTAACGAGTCGTTACTTTTTTTCTTGATACTAATAAAATATAGCGTTTCTCACTGGCAGAACGCATTGCACATTAAAGCCGTTGTACTCTGCTGTAATCTGAACGTAAAAATGAGATATCTCAATTGATAAAATGCCTAAAGTATATTCTATGAAGTAGTATAACAAAATGTATTGAGGATTTCGCAGTTTAATTCGTTTCTGTATGTTTAATAAAGCTTTAAAGTGCGCACTATAGTTTTATCAACGAAAAACGTTATCATATACAAATTTTTACGGTAAATATCCTGAAGAGAAGTCAGAATTCTATTTTTTAATAGTGAAATAAAACTCAATAACTGATATATAAATATATATATTATATATGTATTATATATATATATATATCTGTATATACATATTATGTGTATATAATACGATCTAGTTACGACTAAAACTTCTAGTTAAAAATAAAGTAACGATAAAAATAACTAGTGAAATCGTTATCATTACTCCAAAAATATAACTGCGGTACAAAATAAACGTTACTCAGAAAAAAATGTAACACCGTTACCCATTCGTTACCAAAAAAAGTGATAACGATAACGACGTTACAAGTAATGCGTTACTTGCCAATCCTGTATGTATGTGATTAATTTTCCGTGTAAAAATAACACATTGTACTATATACAAAAATGGATTTACATATTTAATAAACGTGTAGTGTCATTTGTTCATATGTTGAAGTCATTTTTTAGTTAACCAGAAAATGAAAAATCGTAACTACAAAGTTGCCATTGTAAAATTATCAATTATTATAATATAGTTATTAATCACAAAGATATTTTGAATAAATTATTAAAAATGATAAAATTTGAATAATTATCAATTATTTATTTCGTAATTAATTATATCACAATTTTTCTATTATCAAATTAAGTAAAATTAAGTCTAAGTTAAGAAAATAAAGAACCGAGCCTAAGAATTAGAAAAAAAAATTTTTTATACACTTTGATTTGTAATGTTGCGAGTGAAGTAACGTAAATCCGATGAGACTCGAATTTGTTTTGTACTTTTTAATACAGGCACCATCGGAAAATAAAAAAAAACCGTGGAGAATACACACACGCAATTCGCACGGAAGATATGATTTCATCACTCGATTTGACTCCGTCCAATAATTTCGATGCATCACTTCAGCGTTTTTCTATCTGTTTGCCATCGAATGACGCTTATCGAACTGGACCTTCGGCAGGCGCTAAAATTCACACCCGACCGCTCGATCATTTCCGATTTCATTGAGTACGAAATAACGCGGACGATTTGGCAATTTGTTGGACGTGGTTGCGACACGTGCGGATTCGCGGTCGTGCAATCGCGGGAAAGAGACCACCGATGATTCGACGATTGCATTCAGTGACCAGATTGCTTGACCGTCCATTTGCAAAGCGCATTTCGACGGGAAACTGAAAGCTCTGACTTGAATAATTTAACGCATGAACGAGCCACGTGTTTTCGAATAATCTATAATGCAATGTATCGCGCGGATAAAATAAAAAATACGCAAAAAACATTCCCAATAATTAACGATTTATCATCCGTGGTTATCCGAATACGGAAGGAAATCCCCGAATACGGAAGGAATTTCTAATGTTACTCTTTGATTAACGCTTTTACAGATACATAAATGCACAAAATTTTATGTAATATGATGTATATTTTGCTTTTTCATATAATACATGTATATATAATACAATAATATATTTATCATTATAATATAATAATTAATAAATCTTCTAATGTAAGTAGTTTTTCAAAAAGTTTATTTTTTTCGAGAAATTCAAGGACAAAGATTTACAACGGCAAAGATTTCTCTAGATTTCCCAAAAATCCGCACAATGTGAAAATTGAACCTAACACAATGCGATCTGGAACTTCGTATAAATTCCTTCACCGTCGACGTCAGCTGCAAAAACCGGATTGCAGTGTAGATTCGAGGCCGGCAGGCCCAGCCTACCGCTTTTGGGCCCACCCACGCCGTGGTCGGCACCGAAAAGGCTCACACTGTGAACCCAACGGTTACCCGACTGGTGGCGCCCTTTTGCAGCATACCTCGGAGAGAGAGAGAGAACGAGAAGCCGTGGTCCGACACGAACGCTCGTCACGAGATCATCAGGCGCGATTAATTAATTAACTATGTCGGCGCGGCTCAGCGGCGTGATTAATTGTGCCACCGAACGAATCGCCCGCGCGCACCGTCGGTTACTGACACCATCTTCTCCCCGCTCCCGTGACCCTCTTGTGACTCTAAATTGCGTCATGCACGGTCACGCGCCGGTGACTCGCTTGTCCCGTGCTACCCGTGCGATTCTTCAACTTTCTCAATTCTAATGGTGACACTCTAGCGTCACTTAATTAGCACGTATCTATATAACATCGTGCGATTTATACATTTGAAATTGCTTACATTAGAAAATTTATTATTTTAATTTTTCTGTTTTATTTTAATTATTGTATAATAATAAGTATATTATATTGCATATATATAATTGTATGCAAAAGTAAAATATATATAACATTATACATAAAATTTTATATTATATATAGAGGAAAGTCGCCGATACTGACATAGGTCTCCTAAAGTGACACTCCCTTATTTCTCAGAAATTAACTATTGCACTTTATTAATATTAATAAAATCATGATCTGTTTAGCTAATTAAAGAAGTACAAACTCATAATTCATATATTTGTGGCTTATTTCTATACCAAATCAGCTAAAAACCAATTCTATGAATCCGAGAAGAAAATTCGTACGGTATTCTTTTGCAAATTGCGTAATTAAAATAATAGTGACTGTATTATTGATAATATTATGTCATTTTAAATGTTTATAGTTTCATAAATTAGTTTTCTTTACAGAATAGGATATATCTTTATTTATAAAATAGGAATGTTGGTATTATTGCCTACTATGTCAGTTTTGGAG